AGGGTGTGTGTTTCTTTTGGTGCTTCTTGGAAATGGTCTGGTCGTCGGCTAAGAGCGTCGGCTCTGCCGTTTTCGTTTCCTTTTCTGTATATGATTTCGCAGTTGAATTCTGACAAGAATTCTGACCATCTGATTTGTCGTTTGTTGAGTTCTTTGTTTGTAAGGAAAGATGTGAGGTTCTTGTGGTCGGTGTAAACTTTGACCTTGTGGGTGGTTCCACTAAGATAGTGTCTCCATTCTCGGAATGCTTCGATGACTGCCATAAGCTCTTTATCATGGATCTGGTAGTTAAGCTCGGGTCCGTTGAGCTTTTTCGAGAAGAACGCTACTGGGTGTAGCTTGTTGTTGTCATCTCGCTGGCTGAGTTGTCCTCCGATTGCGTAGTCGGACGCGTCGGTCTCGACTTCAAATGGCTTGTCTGGGTCTGCCATCTTGAGTACTGGTTCGTCGGTGATTCGTTTCTTTAGGGTGTCGAAAGCTGTCTGCTCGACTTCTGTCCATCGGAATGGTAGGTCCTTTTTCGTCAGGTTCGTCAGTGGCGTGCCAATCTTTCCGAACTGGTGGATGAACATTCGGTAGTAGTTCGCGAGTCCCAAAAAGGATCGTACTTCCGAAACGTTCGTTGGGGTTGGCTAGGCTTTAACTGCTGCGATTTTGGAATCTTCCATTCGGATTTCTCCTGGGGATATAACGTATCCTATAAAGGTGACCTTTTGTTAGTGAAATTCGTTTTTCTCGCCGTTGATTAGCAAGTTTGCCTCCTGTAGCTTGCTAAGTATCGTGCGGACGTGTTGTTTATGTTCTTCGAGTGTCTTCGAGAAGATGAGTATGTCGTCGAGGTAGACGACTACGAATTTGTCGAGGTATTCGCGTAATACGTGATTGATTATACTCTGAAAGCTTACTAGTGCGTTGGTTAATCTAAAGGGCATAACCAAGTACTCGTAGTGTCCGTATTTGGTTCTGAAGGCGGTTTTCCATTCTTCGCCTTTCTTGATGCGTATGAGTCCGTAGGCGTTTGGTAGGTCGAGTGCAGTGAACCATTGGGCTCCGTGCAGTTTGTCTCGTAAGTCGCTAATCAGTGGTAGCGGGTATCGGTTTTTGATTGTGTTTTCGTTGAGCTTGCGAAAGTCGATGCAGAGTCTCCATTTCGTTTTTCCGTCTTTGCTTTTCTTTGGTACAAAGAGGATTGGGTATCCTGCCTCTGATGTTGATGGGCGGATGTAACCTTTTCTTAGGTTCTCGTCGAGATATTCTTTGAGTGCTTCCTCGTGTTCTGGTCGCAATCGATATGTCGGTATGAAGTGTGTCTTTCCTCCTTCTTTGAGGGGTATTTCGTGGTCGAATTGCGTGTGCTGTGGTAGTCCTGTCTTCAGTTCTCCACTGAACAGGTCGGCGTAGTCTTGGTATTCTTCGGGTATTGCGATGTTGACTTTTGCCTTAGATTCCTTGATTATGACGTTGATCCGAAGTGTCTTTCTGAATTCGTTTGCGGCGCTTTCTCGCGGCTGCGTAGAGGCGTAATTCCTTCCTGGCGTGTCCCACTGGAGTTGGCCGGTTCTCCAGTTAACTCTGGGATTACTCGCTCGTAACCAGGGTATCCCTAATATCATATCGTATCCCGATATGTCTGTGATGTCGCACGTGAGTTTCTCCGCGTGGTCGCTAATCGTGATTGGTAGATGATCAGTCTCCATGTCGACGGTTCCGTTGCCGTACGTGACGAATTCTCCATCCACGGTCCTGAGTTGGTAGGGGGCGTCTTTTTCTTTCCATGGTATTCTGTACTTGTTGACGACTTTTGGCGAGATATAGTTTCCTTGGGCGCCGCTGTCGAGTAGCGCGCGCACCGTTCGTCCCATGATTT